AGAATTAAATATACCGATATTAACGAAAATAATAAAAAACCCAAAAGACCAAAAAATTTAAAAACAAAAAAACCAAAAAGCAAAAAAAAAAACCAAAAAATTGTTATTATTACTTACGGAAAGATTCATCATAAATATTTTTTTTTAAATTAATCTGCGCAGTTAAAAATTTCTTGCCTGGATAATCCTTTTTTATTTTGAGTTTCTCTCATTTTTAACTCTTTTAAATCATGTTTTGATTTTGTCGCAGCATCCAACTCACTGTCTGTTGTAAACGCGTATTGTTGAACGTTTAATTTTTGTTGGGAGAAGACTTTGAACGAGCAATAAGTTCCCGCCCTTCTAGAGGGCAGCTCCCGGTTGGCGGCGCGAATCGGCGCGCCACGCGTGCGTGCGGGCATCAGTGGTGCTCACAAGAGCTTCGATTACCGTCGTGTTCAGACGTGTTAGTTACGGTTTAAGTTACAGAGTGTGATATACTTATATATAATAAAGACAGTATTCAGAGTGTACAAAGACCAAGATTGTTGTGTTCCCTGCTCATCTCACCACATTTCAAGTCGTCCCTGATTATATTTCCAATAGGTTATGGGCCCAGGGCACGATTCCTCTGCGTGAGGAACATAGCACGAAAGTGTATATACGAAGTGTGTGAGACGCCGGCGAAGGGCATAGAAAGAGATAGAAGCATCTAGAAGATTAGAGGGTAAGTAAATAATATTCCTCGTTGCTGACGAGCAAAACGAGAGAAAATAATTCTCAGTTAATAAGAATGTTCGTTCGATAAATACTGTTACAAGGAGATAGATGTTTTTGCCATTTTTTTCGAGAAATAGAAATTAATAGAGGTAATAATGGTAATAAGAGAATTAGAGAATAGATGTGTAAAGTGTAATAAAGAAGTAGAGAATGATGAAGGAAAAAGAGATAGAAAAATGCCGCTTGGTAGCAAGTCGGCGACGTGCGCGTGCAAGTCCGATCGTGAACGGCGAGCGTCATTTCTTTTGGCGCGCGGAATTTTTGACGCGCGGAAGTCCAATCGTGAGAGACGAGAGTCATTTTTTGGCGCGCGGAACTTGTTGCCGGGCGCGCACAAACACATAATCGATTTCGACTAACAACACAGCATCGATGCTAGATGGCTAGATTACGATACATGTAAATGTATGCGTATGCTAGATGGCTAGATTGCGATACATGTATATGTATGTGTATGCGTATGTATAAAAACTCTATATGACTCTATATGAGTTTATTTTTTTTTTAAATCGATATGTATCGGGTCGGTAATTGAGCATGACTTGCTGTGCGGTGTAGCTTGGTTACTGTTTAGGGAAACTGCGTAAATTTGTATGGGCCCCGTGCGTGTGCGTGATCAACCTGAGCTCCCATAGATCTTTTCAGCAGTGCTGGGGATCGCAACGGACAGTGGTGTGCGCGTGCGGATAGCCCTGCAGAGGCGCGTGGTTTTCTCGCTTTGGGGTTATTGTAAATTGCAGTGCGTTCTATACAGCCTCATAAGCATTAAATTTTTATCGCTGAAAGAGATCTAGTGATAGAAATTGTAAATTATTATTTGTCAATACGAATGTTGGTTTATCTTGTCAAAAGAGGAATGCTAATGTTCAATTGATATTTAAATCCCGATATAGATGGAAGAAGAAGGCCAAGATGCGCTGGTTGACTACGACAGCGATAGCAGCTTTATCACGGTAATAGATAGAGAAGCAAAAAATAAAAACGAGGAGACAGTAAGAAAAGATAGAGGTAAGAGAGTATTTTTTTGAAAATAAAGCAGTCCAGAAGAATAATATATATATGCATTCAGAAAAAATAAAAATAGTAATTTCAAAATTCCGTATAGAAGCAAAAGATAAAAAGGAGATGGAAAGAAGAGGTGCAATCCCGAAAAAAAAAGAACTTGCTTAAAGTCAGAGAGAATATAGATGTGACCAAAGCATGGGAAGAGAACCGTCCAGTACTGCCAATGGGAACCAAAATATTATATGAAAAGCAAGAAAAATTGGTCGCAAAAATGGACAATTGGATGCAAATGCTGGATAAAGTAATGACGAAGGCCACCGAGATGATGGAGAATATGGTGGAAGTCTCCCGTTTAAACTTAGAGAAAGAAAAAGTTAAACTTAGACGTTTAGAGGTAAGCAATAAAGATACCCAAAGTTCAGTAGAAAACAGTAAACAAACGGTTAAAGAACTAGAGGTAGAGTCTAAAAAGAGAAAATTAAATGAAATAAAGTCTTTTATGATGCAGTTAGAAGCAGAGACTAAAAACGAGAATAGAGAAAAATTAGAGAAACCCGAAGTCAGGGTACAGAGGGCTGCTGCAGAAGAGAACATGAAACAAGTGAAATGCTACAGATGCAACCGAATGGGTCATATGGCGAAGGACTGTCCACTAATAGAATTTGGTGCCTGGTTTTGTTACTACTGCCAGGAGATACGAGGTCACAAGGGTGATAATTGTCCGAGTGCCGAAGCCCAGGCGAACAGAGCTAGAGGAAAAAGGTATTTAAATAAAACCGTTAATAAAAACATAAAGAAAAAGGGTAGATTTGTGCAAAAAGGCACAAAAAGAGTAGATAACAAAGGAAAAATAACCAAGATACAACCAGCTGAGAAACCTATATCAACGAAAACAGCAAATGAAGGAGAATCAGAAGAAGGTAAACAATACATGGTTAAATTAATAGAAGATAGAGATAGTTCAAAAGAGGTAGTCAATTTTACTGCAGATTCGGGTGCTACGGATCATATTGTGAATAAGAATTTTATTCTGTCAAAGTTTGAAAAATGTAAAGATAGAGTTATTAAATGCGCGAATATAAAAATAAGCTTGCAAACATTTCAATAGATGGTAAAGGAGATCTTTCGCTAATAACGAATGAAAAAGAAAAGAGAGTCATTAAATTAACAAATGTAATTGCAGCAAAGGAAGTATCCAAAAATTTAAGAAAGTTGGCTGATGCAGGGTTCAGTATTTATTTAGATGATAAAGTGTTTAAAGTTTACAATAAATTGACAAATAAAATAGTTTTTAAAGGAATTTACAGATGTAGAGCAGAAATTGTTACACATAGTGAGCTTCCTAAACAATCGCAAACAAACATTCAGAGCAATGAATTATCCATTTCGGAGGAAGAATTAGATGAGAAGGATAATGTTGGTTCTGCGATTGGGAAGGAGAATGAAGAAGAGCTCACAAATGTGAACGAAAATATAGAACACAACAATGCTAAACTCGAGTAAGTTATTAAGTTGGAGGATATACAGACAATAGAGAATATAGAAGAAATGTGTGAAAGCTCAGTAATTGAAAAAGTAAAGAAACTAGAGAAAATAAATGAGGCAATGTTAAGGCATGTTAAATTAGGTCATGCATCGTTAAACTATTTAAAACAATTACAAAAACTAGAAAAGAGATTAGAGAATGTAAAGTTTGATAACTCCATATTAGAGTGTGAAGTATGTATAATGGCAAAGATGGCAAAACTGCCGTTTAAGGGGGGAAACCACAGTAGAGCACGAAAAAGTAAGGCTATTTTCGGGAATTTTTTTTTGGGTCAATGAAATAATGAATCAAAAATCTGTAAAATGAGCAGTATAATATCATAAACGAACTACAATTTAAAATTTTTTGACGCATTTTTATTACAAAATGGCGGCTGTGCAGCACTTGTCCTGTGGCGCCTATTTTTACAGGAGGGCCCATGGGCGGACATCTACAGTCCGTAATTTTTGACCTGGAACAAAAAATGAAAGTTTTTTAGGTTCTATATATAAATGGGTATGGAACTGCGTAGGATTTTTTCGATATGTTAATTTTTCGCAAAATGGCGCACGTTTTAAGAAAAACTTGCAAATGTAACAAAAAAAAACGCCATAAAATTGTTGATAAAAAAACCATATAATATAAAAATAAACCCTACGCAGTTCCATAGAGAAAGGTATTCTAAATATACTGTGAAAATTTCAAACCGATCGGTAAAAATTTATTCGAGTTATGTGTCCGCCCAGTTAAAAAAAAGTGGTTTCGAGAAAAACGCGTTTAAAGTTTTAAGTACTGTAAAATCATATAATATTTTTATATACCTCTAATCGGCGATGCCTGCACCATACAATTGGCCTTCTTCGTCAATTTCCTGTTGATGTTTGGCCTTTCGAATTGACATCTGGTCGATTCTGGCCTGTTTTGCGCCCTCTGTCAATGATCGCTCCGCCTTCTGTATTCGCTTTTCATCTAATTCCATACACAGCTCATAACTTTTCGGGCCGATTTTCATCCCCATGACTTCGATTATGTGTAAAATGGACAGTAACCCGTCATTAAAAA